GGGTGTGACTGGCTGTGGGAGGTAGGCGGCGGTGGTACTGCGACGGTGAGTGTGGGTGGTGGTATTGATGTGAGTGCGTGGGTGTGGCTGTGAGTAAATCTGCGTGTGTGCATGCATGCGGAGGTAGGTGGTAGTGGAGTGCATTCATGGTGGCCGACTGCTGACTGGCTGGTTGAGTGCCCCTACAGCCAACTGACGCGAAAAGGTGTGCGTGGCAGTGGTGGTGTGACTGACTGCGAGTGTGTGCGGGTGGTACTCACGGTATTTGACGAGCATCCCCAGACATACTCGCATCGTGAAAAAAATCACGACGCGAAGTTCTTGGCTGTTTCTAGCCTCGGGGGCCCTCGCCGGGCCTCAGGGCCGTTAAACAACAACCAGGGATGAACAAACGACCCTGGGGAAAGGGTCGGGTGTTCTGGGACACCGTATTGCTTCTCACTATGTTTCCCACATGCGGTCGAAGACGGTCGCCCACCGCTGCTGTCTGAGCCCACTGGAGTCGCCAACTGCTCTCACTCTTGCATCGCCTGTGGGCTATACCCGCGCGGTCGCAGTTCGGTGTGGCATCCACCTGTGCCCTATTGTTTGCGTCTCCTGCGTGGCGCGACGGTGACGCCTCCAAACTTTTGAAAGGTTGTCCAAGGAAAACGTCCTCTGGTCTCGCCACTCGCTATCGTTAACTGACACCTATTGACCGTTCGTGTGCGTGGCAATGCTTCGACCCTGGTGGTATGTCGCGGTTCGAACCTGGGTTGGAGTTGACCTATCCCTCTCCTCCAGCGTGTGATCTCCAGGTTGACCTACCTCGCCTGTTGAGGCGTTTGAGTTGGGCTGGGCTCTTATCTCGTGTGGTGGGGATGACGATTCGACTCGTAAATTGCCTCCGTGGGCTGCCTAAGTCTGAGGCGTAGGCGTACCGTGCACTCGACGTGGGTGAGTCGGATTTCTTTTCCTCTTTCTATTGATGCATTTGCGTATCGCCCCTGCTGCTTCAGCTCGGCGGTGACTCGGGCCGTGCTGTTACCGCTCCTTCACTGTGCATGTATTTCGCTCCTTGGCCGTCCTCAGAGCCCGCCTCCGAGGTACCAGGACCCCTGGTTCGCACCAGTATCCTTTACGACTGGATGAGCTCGCTGCACCCTCGATGTGGTCGTTCTCGAATCCAGCATCTGGAGGCTCAGGATCTTACCGAGTAAGTGGTGCTCGCTACCCCACCGACGTTGAAGAGTGCGTCTGGAGGTCGAATGAGATGGTGACGCTGTGACTGGCACTGTGTATGCGCGGTGGTGATGCGTCTGTGTGCTGTGGCGGTGGCGACGTGGCGGTGGCACGCGGAAAGGAATGGTGGAGGAGGGGCGGATTAGAAGGGGATGAAAGGGGAGGGAGGCCTCTCCTCGCTTCGCTCGCATTCCAAGGCTGTTAGTTCAATCTCGAAGGAAGGGGCCCTCCCCCGAGCGTCGCTCAGAAATGCTTGGTCGGCCCTGAAGCCGCTTTCCTCGCCCTCCTCTCCGCCCCTGGCACTCCCTGAGATGAGGGCAGCACTACAGACAGCGGAAAAAACGCGAGCCGAACATATGCTCCTTGATGCAGCTACGTAGACAACTCTGGCACGATCATATGCACCACACAATCGCACCACCACTTACACATGATCACTACCACACCATTACCACCACTGCCAATCATCATCACCACAACCGTCATCATTGCAAATCCCCATCGCCATTATCCGTGAAACTGGAGACAGCATCAAAACGGCTCTTGTCCTTCTCCCTCTCCGTCCTGTCCTCTCCGCCTCCTCCGCCTCAGCATCATCACCACCACCATTGTCATCATCATCATCATCAGCATCATCATCATCAGCATCATCAGCAGCATCATCGTCGTCATCATCAGCAGCATCATCGTCGTCATCATCAGCATCTTGGTCATTGTCGTCGTCATCGATTTCGCGATCGTCAACATCTTTGCCACCACCATCATCATCATCCTCATTCATCAGCAGCATCAACATAATCAAAATCATAATGATCCACATCATCGTCATCATCCTCATTATCGTCATCGTTGGCGTCATCGTCATCATCATCAGCATCATCATCATCACTACCACCAGCATCGTCATCATCATCAGCAGCATCATCTCCATCATCAGCATCATCATCATCCCCATCCTCATCACCAACATCAGCATCAACAACAGCAGCATCATCATCGCCATTATCGTCAGCATCATCGTTATCATCATCATCATCACCATCGTCATCATCACCAACATCATCATCGTCATCGGCATCGTCACCGTCACCGTCATCGCAATCGTCATCGTCAACACGATCAACATCATCATCATCACCATCATCACTACCAACCTCATCACCACCATTGGCATAATCGTCATCGTCGAACCATCATTATCATCAACATCATCAGCATCATCATCGTCATCGTCATCGTCTTCGTCATCGTCGTCGTTTTCATCGTCACCGTCATCACCATCATCATCATCACCATCACCATCATCGCCATCATCATCAGCAGCATCAGCCTCATCATCATCAGCATCATCATCATTACCATCAGCATTATCATCATCATCATCAGCATCATCATCATCCCCAGCATTATCATCAGCAGCAGCATCATCATCGTCATCATCAGCATCGTCGTCATTGTCGTTGTCATCGCCTTCGTGATCGTCAACATCTTCGCCACCACCATCATCGTCCTCATCATCAGCAGCATCAACGTCATCATAATCATAATGAACTACATCATCGTCATCCTCATGATCGTCATCGTTGGCGTCATCTTCATCAGAAGCATCATCATCACTAGCACAAGCATCGTCATCCTCGTCAGCATCATCATCATCACCCCCATCATCATCATCATCATCATCATCATCATCATCATCATCATCCCCATCCTCATCACCAGCATCAACATCAACAACAGCAGCATCATCATCGCCATCATCGTCAGCATCATCGTCATCATCGCATCACTATCACCATCATCATCGTCAACAACACCAACATCATCATCAGCGTCATCGTCACCGTCATCGTCATCGTCATCGCCATCATCACCACGATCAACATGGTCATCATCATCATCATCATCATCATCATCATCATCAACATCACTACCAATCTCATCATCACCATTGTCACGATCGTCATCGTCGAACCATCATCATCATCATCATCAGCATCGTCATCGTCATCATCATTGTCATCGTTATCGTCATCGCCATCATCGTCACCGTCATCATCGTCATCACAATCATCATCACCATCATCGCCATCACCATCAGCATCATCAACATCATCAGCATCATTAACATCAGTATCATCAGTATCATCCTCATCATCATCATCATCAGCAGCAGCAGCATCATCATCATCATCATCATCATCATCATCAGCAACATCATCATCATCATCTCGCCCCACCCACCCACTTACCCACCCCGCCCCACCCCGCCCCACCCCACCCACCCACCCGCATCCGCATGATTCGCCGACTCTCTTCTCCATCCAACGATGGTTCACGATTATCCCTCCTTCTCGGCTCCTTCTCTTTTTCCGCACAAGTTTCTGTCGTCTACGCGCTGCACAAGTCCAACCAGCCCAGCCGTCTGGGCGTGCGTGGTTTTGCAGGTCACATCTGTCAACCCCCTTCTTCTCCCTTGGGAGTGTTTTACTCCTACCCCTACCCCACGTCGCCAGACTCCCCCTCTCGCCTAGCCGAGCGAAAAGGATGGTTATCGCATGAGCGCGCGCGCGGACGCAGCGACGCTCACGCAAAGACGCGCGTCCATGCGGTTACCGATTGACTCGTTGTCGATTTCAAAGCCTGGCGAACAGAATTTGTTGCGGCCTGTGTACCCGACGTATCTCCGACAGTGGTGCCTCAAGAGTCGAACATAATCGAACCAAATCGGAGCCAGAAGCGCTCCTTACACTCGCTGGTCTTGGAGCTTCGAAGAGTCCTCCTGGGGCCGTTGGGGCCATCTTAGCCCGAACTAGTTCAGGGTGCCCCAGTGACCAGGCCGCGATTACTATAGAAGGGTTTGGGGGCCTCTTGGGGCCATCGTGGGGGGCCTCGTGGCCGTCTCGACGCTCCTGTGGCCCTTCAAGTCGAACCGGCTTGGAACTTTAATGGGCCCTCTTGGACCCCCTATGATAGGCCGTCTCGGTGCCGTCCTCGTCTCGGTGCCGTCCTGGAGCCCTCCTGGGACTTGTTGGACCATTCTGGGGCTACATTCCTGGCCTCTTGGGCAGCCTCGGAAACCAAGAAAATTCGCGCGGCATTGTTGTGTACGCATCCTAGACTACATGCCAGTGCGCGGAACTCTGGACCTGGACACGCCACAGCGGTCAGAACACGCACGGGAGAGGGCGGCGCACGAGCCATCACGATCCACGCAGCCAAAGCCTCAGCGGTCCGAGCACCCACGGGAGAGGGCGGCATACAGGACATAGCGGTCCAACCAGCCAAAGCCACAGCCCCACGGGCAAGGGCGACACACAGGCCATAGCAGCCCAAGACCAAACGAACGGCCACGGCAGACAGGTCGGAGCTCAGCTCCGAGTCATCAAGCGCGCGCCGGGAACGGGCGCCTGGAGCGCGCGGTTCGCGACGCGAGCTTGAGCCCGCGCCCGCTTGCCGCGCGACGGACAGAGTCACAGCATCCCACCGCGCAGGTCCACAGGACTATCACCTTTCCAGTGGGAGCTCGCCGTGGTGACAAGCAAGCATCACCCGTGATCGCGTATGGCGAGGGGACTTGGGATGGGACGCTTCATCACGTAATCAGCTGTATGTGCTGGGTTTAACTACTCTGGTCCTGCCTCCTCCCCATCTTCCTCGCTCCCCTTCGTCCTCAGTTCCCTCTCCTGCTGTTTCTCCCCCGCCTCGTCATCCTCATCCTCGCTGCCTCCGTCTCTTCTTATTTTCTCCATGTCGGCAGCAGAAAGCAGCCCCCTCGCCTCGTACAGAATCTTGGTGCAGGCGTCGGAGTTCACACCAGCCCACTTCGCAGCGATGTCTGCGATAGAACTGAAGCAGACGCGATAGTCGTCATTGCAGTACTGGGAATATAAAACTGTGCAACCTGCCTCCGCCGTGCAAAGGGCCGCCGCTTCCGACTCTGTGTAAATCGCACTGTAGCACAGGGAAGACCAGGCTCCCCTCGTGACCCGTGGGCCGTCAACATAGATGTCATTCTGGGAGAGCAGCGCCTGGCGATCGACCCGCGACGCTGCCGTACAGAAGCACGCCGAGTCCACCAGGCACTGCTGAGGGCCCCGTACGACTTCGCCAGAGCCGCTCCGTGTGCAGACCTGCCCGGCGGCGCAGTCTGCGGCCCTCACACAGCGGCTGGAGCCCGGAGGCCCGCCTCCGCCCGGCCCCGGCGGCAGACCGCCCGCCCACGCGGAGACAGAGCCGTTCTGGCCGGGGCCCTCGGAGCTGGCGTGCCCCGCACGCGCGAGGCCCCCCCAGACGCCAGCCTCAGTCCCGCTGGCGTTGCGCCAGGCCTCGGCCACCAGGCGGAGCGCCAGGGGCGAGGCCTCTGCCGCCGCCAGGGGCAGGCCGGCCGCGCGCAGCCCGAAGAGCGGGGGGAGCATGCGCAGGGCGAGCATCAAGAGGCAGCAGAGGGGGTGCTGCACGGGACGAGCCACCCCGCCTCCGAGAGCCGGGCTGGACCGAAGGGGGGGGCAGCAGGGGGGGGGGGATGGGCGAATCAGCTCACGTGGCCGGTGGATTTTCCCGGGCGCCCGAGGCGCCAGCGGATCGAGGAACGGCGCCCGGCGGCGCGGCCGAGACCAGCTGCGTGCAGGAGATTTCGTACCCCCTCCCCTGTGCCCGCGGTGAGGGCATTGGATAAGGAACCATTGGATACGGCAGCCAGGGTCTGGAAGCCGGTGGAGCACCCACTGAGGATTGGCCATGGATATCGCCGCCGCCCTCATCCGATCAGGAATCTTCCAGGGTCTGAAGCTTCCTGGGCACAATCCTTAGCAAACGCCCCCACCGTGGCGAATCAGCTCACGTGGGAGATTTTCCCTGGCGCTGGAGGTGTCAACATATCGGGGCAAGGCGCCCACCGGCGGAGCCAGGACCAGCTGCATGCAGCAGATTGCGCAATCCCCCCTTTTCCTGATCCCGAGGGACAACGATAGGGAGGGACCAGCAGGGGGAACATCGACCTGGGATTGGCGATGCATCGCCGATGGATCGGCGACAGGCCCCCGATACCGAATCTGCACCTTCCTGGGCGGGGTGGGCTATCTGACCCCCATCAGCGATGACTGGGCCAGTGGGGCTCGATGCAACCCCCACTGCGTGGTGGTTTTCTGGCTGTACCCGTCCTGGTGGTTTTCGGGTCATGCCTCGGGCCTCCAGCGGCCTTTCAGAACGGTCCCGGCACCCCCAGAACGCTCTCGGCGAGGCGCAGCTGCCGGAAAGTTATCCCGAGGCGGAACAACCACCGAGGACCGACGAAAACGTTCGAAAAGATCCACAATCAAACCTTAATGAACCCATCCCTCCAATCGTTACCCCTGATGTCCCCCCCTTCCCCCGACCCGACAGAGAGGGCCCGCGCTGCGACGGCCAGACTGATCCTGCCCTCCCTGCCGCCGGCGACCATAATTAGCTCCCCCGCTGCGTCTCGGCCTCGGGCGGTCTTCGGCGGGCTTCGGCGGTTTGCGCTCTGCGGACGAGCTTCGGCGGTCGTCGGCGTCCTGCGGCGGTCGCTGGCGGTCTCTGGCGGCTTCCTGCGGCGGTCAGCTCGGAAGCTGGACGATTGCGTCTGACAAGGGGCACAAGGTCGAACACCGAAAATGTCGCTTAACACAGAAAACAAAACGAAGCCCAACGTTCGAAACAAACGTATAAACGAAACTGGTGCCAAGCGAAACGAAACACGGCACGAACCGTTCAAAACGAAATCAAACAACGAAACAGAGCAAAAACTGAAAACGAAACGAACAACATAACGAAGCCCAAACCAAGCTACACAGCGTAGCAGTCGGTCCTTACCTAAACCTCCTCCCTCGGGAGAGACTAAGTTCAGCTGGAGGACCTCCGGACGGGGCCCCTTGGCTCTGACCGAAGCTGTTCCAACTGGACGCTTGACGTCGCCCGACTCCCCCGTCACTCTCCCCCCATCCCCCACGAGGGAGGGAGAGCATTAGAGGGGAGAAAATTATGTTGTTTTCTTCCTCCTTTCCTCGGGTTGTCGTTTCTGCGCTTTGGGCCGTCGTTGCTTCCCCATCGGCCCGTCTTTCTCTTCTCCCCGTTCCCCCGAGTAAGAAGGAAGAAAAGTACAGTCGGGCTGCCAAATCAAGGAACAATAGGTAAGGAACAAAGCCCCTTTTCTTCAAAGTCGAGGCGTAACATCCAGAGGAACGGCCGTGAACTCCGAAGGAACACCGAAGGGCCTCGCCACCAAAAAAGCAGCGAAACGCATGCTACCCCAAGAAGCCACCGGGCCCCTTCCGACCTCGAACTGGAACGTACTTCAACGAACTGCACACTCAGGATATGTTGCTTAATCCCGGCGACACTCTATGCCCTACAAGCGGATAGCGTGTCGCTCCAGGGAGCGGGAGGCTGGAAAAGACTCGGGACGTAGACGCCTGGGGACTGGGCCGTGGCCAGCGTGTCGCGCCGAAGCGCAGCGGGCCAGAACCGGCGGCGCGACACGCTAAGCCGAAGTTCCTGACAGCATGCGCTTGCACCGATCTTGGCAGCGCCCATCCTTAGACCAAGATCGGTGCGCTGGCCCTCCTCGGCCTGGCCAAGAGTGCATGTACGCCGATCCCGATCCCAGCCTCGGCCTGTCGAGAACCAGACGTTTGTGATCGGCGCCCTCCGGCTCCCTCGTCTCCGAGAACCTCCGAGAACCTCGCACAAGCCTGGGGAAACCTGCTAAGACGGTAGAACACCGACGAAGACTTGCGAAAATCATCCACGACGACGCTGACGAGGTGGGGGGCGTGGCAAGGGAAGGGCAGGATCGGAGGCGTGGTCGTAGCGAGGGCGTGGCGGCCTCCCGCATGGCGCCGCAGTCCTCCCTGGCCGCATACCTCCATGCTACCCGCGGCGCGGGCTTCGGTCAGAGTGGCTGCAGGGCGGCGGCTGTCGGGGAGGCCGAGAGGGAAGTGCCGTTCCATCGTGCGGTCTCAGGCCCTGGCGGCGTCGTCGGCGGGCCCTGCTGGACAGAACCTCGACGCCCAGCGCTCGCAGAATACTTCCTGACTTTCTCTCTCTCTCTCTCTCTCTCTTTCTCTTTCTCTTTCTCTTTCTCTTTCTCTCTCTCTCTCATTCTCGCAATTTCTCTCTCTCTCTCTCTCTCCCTTTCTCTGTCTGTCTCTCTCTCTCTCTCTCTCTCTCTCTCTCTCTCTCTCTCCCTATATATATATATATATATGTATATCTTTGTTTCTCTGTTCACATACCTATTTGCATACGGACGAACAGACAAGCATATTGATATACGTGCATGCATACATGCATACACACACCCTGTATGATGCCTTCTCTCTCTCTCTCTCTGTTTCTCTCTTTCCCTCCCCTTCTGTATATGTGCAGATGAAGTGTTCGCCAACGTGGGCCCCAAACAAAGCAGTTCTAGCATTTTATGTTGTGCACTGTATGTGGGTCCATATGTATTAAGTGCAATGTATGTGGTGCACTATACGCGGTGCATTTTATGTGGTGCAACCTGTGTGCTGCGATCAAGGTTGTGCCATCGATATCGTGCGCTATGTGTTGTGCAATCTATGTGGTGCAATATGTGTTGGGCGTATGTGGGGGTATACGTAATGCAATCTATGTGATGCTACAGTATATCTGTTGCGCGTGGGGCAATCCACCTTACGGAACTTGAAGTTGCCAACTCCATTGCTTGCACAATCACCCCACCCACGCGCCCGCAAGCTGGCTTGCAAAACCAATGCGGCAACGATTGCAATCACTACTTGGCGCTGGCTGGCGCATCCATGTGGCTGCGCTAACGCGCGCAAGTTCGCGCGCTTAGCGGCTGACTAGCTTGGCGCCACCACTGTGGCCGCGGTGGCGCTGACCGATGGACACGCGCCCCCCACGAGCCGCCTTTCGCGCGGGCACTTCGCTCCGAGTCGGTGACTCGGGCGGGCGCGGAATCACGGTGACGTCGGCAATGGCAGAACAATGACGATGGTAACAACGATGGTGGCGATGATGACAAGGATGACGGCAAGGCGCATGACGGCGCCAATGCTGGTCGCGTCGGTGAAATATAATGTTCACGTTTCGCGGACGAAGGGTTTGTCCGGATTTCGGCTTGCGCGCGCGGCCGACGCGCGCTGGTGGCCCGAAGGGTATTACATGACAGGTATCGCGCGCCCCAAGCAAGCGCGCAAAGGGCGTTCGAATGGTTTCGTCATGCGCGCGAGAGGCCCGCGCGGTCTCATTCGGTGAGCATGTTGACAAACCAAATGGTTTGCATGTGGATTCGCAAGAGCGCGCGCGCAAACTTTGTCTAAATCGCATTGCGAAAACATGCGCTTTCAAGATTCCAGGAACCTCGATCGTGAAATCCTCACTCCTCACCATACCGAAGAAAGTTCGAAGGATTCCGGCATGCGCTCGCAACGCCGCGCGCGCGTGGGCTGTGTCAGATGTTTGCAAAGGGATTTTGGAACTTTGGCATTTGTATATCATGGGCGGGTGCGCGCGCATCCTGTTATTTGACAGGGATCATGGGGGTCGATGGGGGGGGATCCCCTGGGGTGGTATGGATTGAATTTAAAGCGAATGATGGGGCAGCATCACTGTTTCGCCGAAGGGTGCTCCTAGAGTGTCTCAAGTGCATGTCAAAGAAAACTGCACACTATACGGTGGGTTCTGCCGACAGGGCGCGTTCAGCCCTTTTGCTGACTGCCGCGGGCGCTGCGCCGCTGGCACAGGGGTGGCTATGACCCTCCCGGCGACTGATTGCAGCTAGACGTCGGGCCCAGGCGTCCAGTTTCTGCAATTCAGCTTCGGACAAAGATGCAAACCCGTGGCCGGAACCGCTTGCTGACACTCGGTCCGTCTCCTGTTTGCGCGATGTCGCAACAGTCTGTGCCTCCGCCGAAAATCTGTCCTCCAAGACGGGAAGACACTGATATCAGCGATAGTCAGTGACATCGGATCCCGTCTCTTGTGCTTGATCCGCTGATGCAGCAGCAAGTCTTTCTCGCAGGCCAGGATAGGCCAAGCGAGCGGCATTCCCCGGAAGACGCAACATGCACGAAAACAACTTGCCAGCAGACCACTGGGGCGGCGCGTCCTTATCGCATGCGGACTGGCAGAAACGCATGCGACTGACTCGCCACACCCACTCCGGAGGATGTTCGACCATGAATGCTTGCCAGCGGCCGGCGTCAGCATCAGGGTCGGCGCCGCGAATCTGATCTGGCAGCGGGAGCCGTTGGCACATGCAGCGCAGGTCATCACGGATTTGAACAGCCCATGGGTGACTTGCCCCACCGCGCGTATCAGACAAGAAAGCCAGAAGGTCTCCGATGGCACGCGCAAAGACGGGCAAGGTAACAGAGCCTCCCCCGCCGCATGACACAATGGACACTGTCGATCTGGTGACGCCGACGGACTATCAGACTCACATGATGCACCAAACTGAAGACACCCGCAAATCCGCCGAATGACGCGCATGCAAGCATGATTCAGCACGCGCAGGAAGGGCACGGTCACGGCAACGCAGTGGGTGTGAAAGAACAGGCGGCGATGAATGAGCGACTCTTTCATATGGTGCTTCGTGGACACAGCGACGAACGGGCTGCCAAAAACCGCGCATGCCAACGGCGCATACGCACTCATCGCCGATTCAGCTCGGCGGTTGCCATCCTCAAGGCAAGCGCCTTTCAGGCTCATGTAGCTACCAAGGCGCTCGTAGCGTTCAACGATGATCAGTTTGATGTCTGGGCGCGACGGAGTGGATATGTTACATCCATCTCCGCACCTGCGCTTCACCAAGAGCTTCGTGGCACTTTGCCCCGGGTACCTGAGCAGGCAGTCGATTTGCCCGGGGGCCAAATGATGCTGAGCGCAAACAACGTGAATGCGCGTTGCACCGCGCGCAAAGCGACGTGAATGGCACGATCGAGAAAAGAATGGGACTCAGCTGTCAACACAACCGCGCCGTCGCCAACGACAGTGGCGCCCATGACGCCCCCTGGCTCCGCTGGACCTGGACGCGTCGATGCCCGCGCCGGGTCCAGGGAGTAATGCGATCGCAACAGAATCCCCGCAACGGCGAGTTCTGCTTGCAAGACGCGCAGCGGAACAGCATAACCAGAGTGAAACATGGTCGCACCGAGGGCTGATCACCGTGGGAGAACCAGGGCCCTTGGTGCAATTTGATCACAGGCCTAATGACTTTTGGTCACTGCTGGGACACATCGTCATTGTTTCGAATGTAGTTGACGTGCAAAGTCGCAGCGTCGACATCTATGCCGAGAGAGACCGCGCAGATGCTAAAACGGGTCAGGGAATCCCATGGAAGCCTGCCACCAACTATCGAACAATCTGGTCTAACGCCTTGATTCGGTCGAGGAATACAAAAATATCGATACATAATGCAAGTTCGCGTGCTTGATCGTCGCATGAATGACATGGCGAGCATAATCGGCGCCTTCCCCCCTTGACGGCCCCGTGCTGGCTGGGAGGCAGCCGCTCCTTAGGAATCGGGTATATCCCGCCTCTCAGCTGAAGGCGCGGGCCCCTGCCCGCGTGGGGCGCGGTGCGCATGCCCCGCGAGATGTCGCGCAGGCCTCGATCGCTTTTCTTCCCCCGCAAGTCCTGCGTCCGAGCCCCCGACCACTCGACGGCCCCACGCTCGGCCTCAACGAGCGCAGCGTTCGGCAGATCGCAGTGGGCGGCAAAGGCCAGGCCCACAGCTTGCAGCAGCCCCGCGGGAATCCTGCCCCCGCCGACCCCTTCGCCCCTGCGCGGGGCACTGCAGGGCGCAAGAGTGGAGGCAGGGGTGGGCTGGGGCCGTCGTCAACAGGGACTGGGGAAACCGTAGACGGGGCGCAAGAAAACCCGTCTTTACTCACGATCGACCCTCGGAACGCAGAGGCAACATTTCGTTGCTATCTCGCTTGCCGTTCCTTCGCATTGGGCACAAGCTTACCGTTTTCATCTTTCACGGTCGCCTGGGGGGCCGTCTCCGTTCACATGTCGGAGGACGCGATGCATATTCATCGGTTCGTTACTGCACTCGGCGCACTTAGTCTTCCAAGCGAGACCGCGGAACACGCGCTGGCGATGGATGCGAACGAAGGGTTGGAGAGCGCGCTTCAGCAAGCGAAAGCGCTTATGAAGACAAGCAACGAACACGCGGCAGTGATGCAGCTGCTGGCGGAACTCGCGCGACCTGCCCTGGGCAAGCCACCCGCAAATCGCGTCCTGGCGCGCCGAAAAAGTGCGCGGAACCGCGGAGGCGAGCACGCTAAACTTAAGACGCAACGCAATCCTTTTTCCGAAGCTCGCGGGACTTATGGAGCGTTCTTTGCGTCGGCACCACTTGCTGGACGACGCTCCACGTCGTGGCCGTCAGCCACGTCTTTTGGAGTTGGGGTCTGAGGGGTCCAGAAGCAAGGAGGGCCGATTCACGTGTCCATTGTTCCAGCTGCGCAAGATGGTGATCAACATCGAAGCCGTTGCAATCAGGCAGGCAAGACATGTGATACTGAAATACATTGCGCGCTCTCGGATCATGGAGCCGAGTCTTGTCAACAGCGAAATGTCGATTCTCTTCGGCGATTTAGAGGCCCCCCCGCCTCGGGGAACAGATAACTGGGCCACAAGCCTGCGACGATCGACAACATCACGCAACGAGTGCGGCGCATCTTCAACAATGCACGCATGAGTGGCAAAATCGTGCGTGCGACTATCCGTGCACACCTAGTCAATGTGACGAAGGGTGCCACGCGTGCTTCGCCAAATCCAACCGCGGTCATAGAACGTCGATGTGGCCACCAACTAGGTGGACGGAACGTGCTGTTTGAACAGGCTACCGTTGTTATTTTCGCGCCGAATTGCGCGAAGACCAGAGCGATGGTCAAGGTCACTGCCGACACGAGCATTCATTCGCACCCACGCCTTCGACGAACACTGCATCGGGGTAGCGCGGCAGAAGCTGCACAACGATATCATCATGCTTTTCCAAATTCAACTTTCTGGGCCCATGCGGCGCCCTGGCGCGACGCGTGTCCGGACGCGATGCGCAGCCGACGCCAACGGGCACGATAAAACCCAACGACGGAGATGAGCCGTGGGCCCATTTTGCCATTCTGAGGGGGCAGCGCTAATTCGCCGGCCCAACGGGCCAGAGGCGTGCTAAGATCTCCGGTAACTTGTTAACAATATTTCTAGTTCGCGCGCGCGGAGCGGCCCCTGGGGGCCCCCGGACGAAAAGTACCCCGGCAAGGTCCCGAGAGAAGCCCGGGAGAAGCCACCAGACCACTCCAGGGGAGGGTATTTTTCGACACCCCTCACGAGGATCGTGGCCTCCGAGGGGGGAGCCGCAATCGACTACCCCCAAGAGCCCCCCAAGAGGCCCTGGGGGCCTCCAAAACGCCGCCAAGGAGCCCCAAGAGACTCCCAAGAGGTCCCCAAGAAGAGGCCCTAAAGAGGGCTCCAGGGCCGGCGGCATGAGCGAAGGGCGCTAATTAAAGCTCACCTCTTCTTTGATCGATTTCCTCCAAGATGGCCCCAAGAAGCGCCCAGGAGGCACCAAGAGGCCCCAAGATGGCCCCAAGAGGCCCCCAGGAGGCCCCCAAGAGGCCTCCAAGAGGCCCCCAAGATGCCCCCAAGAGGCCCCCAAGAGGCCCCAAGAGGCGCCGAAGACGCCCCAAGAGGCCTCCAAGAGGCTCCCAAAAGACCTCTACTACCCCTTCTACTCCTTCTACTCCTACTCCTACTCCTACTCCTACTCCTACTCCTACGACTACTACTACTACTACTACTACTACTACTACTACTACTACTACTACTACTACTACTACTACTACTACTACGACTACGACTAGTACTACTACTGCTACTACTACTACTCCACACTACTACTACTCTACTTTACTACTACTACTATCTAACTACTACTACTACTACAACTACTATACTACTAAAACTACTACTACTACTACTACTACTACTACTATTCTACTACTACTACTACTACTACTACTACTACTACTACTACTACTACTACTACTACTGTTAACTACTACTACTACTACGACTCTACTACTAATAATACTATACTAATCAAATCAAATAGGATAACTAATCCGGTTTTCACTGACTACGAATAAATAATACTAATACTAGTACCACTACATCATCTCCTACCACTACTACTACTACTACTACTACTACTACTACTACTACTACTACTACTACTACTACTACTACTACTACTACTACTACTACTACCTACTACCTACTACCTACTACCTACTACCTACTACCTACTACCTACTACCTACCTACTACTACTACTACTACTACTACTACTACTACTACTACTACTACTACTACTACTACTACTACTACTACTACTACTATCTACTACTACTACTACCTACTGCCTACTACCTCCTACATACTACCTACTACCTACTACCTACTACCTACTACCTACTACCTACTACCTACTACCGACTACTACTACTACTACTACTACTACTACTACTACTACTACTACGACTACGACTACGACTACGACTATCGACTACTACTACTACTGACTACTACTACTCTACTACTACTACTACTACTACTACTACTACTACTACCACTACTACTACTACTACTACTACTACTACTACTACTACTACTACTACTACTACACTACTACTCCTACTACTACAACTACAACTACTATTACGACTACTACTAATCCCACCAGCCCTTTGGGCGTGAGTGGTTTAGAGAGCCCGCTCTGTTCTCAACACCCTTCTTCCCCTTCGGGGAGGGGTTTACCCCTCCCCCTACCCCCTCCCCCTGGGCCTGGAGAGGGCGCCCCGCGGGTCGTTGGAGGGGTCTTTTTCGACTCCTGGGAGGGCTAAAATTCCACACCCCTCACGAGGATTCTGGCCCCGACGGGGGGAGGCAGAAAAATGCTCGCCCCATCTGTGATCGATCGCCCGACAGATGGCCCCAAGATTCCTCCCATACCCCTCCCAAAGAGTCCCAAAAGGCCCCAAGAGGCCTCCAAGAGGCCCCCAAGATGCCCCCAAGAGGCGCCCAAGAGGCCCCAAGAGGCTCCCCCGAGGCACCCAAGACGCTCCTGGAAGCCCCTGGAGCCGCCAAGAGGCCCCCAAGACGCCCCAAACGGCCTCCAAGAGGCTCCCAAGAGGCCCGAAGAGGCTCCCCCAAGGCACCCAAGACGCTCCTAGAAGCCCCTGGGGCCGCCAAGAGGCCCCGAAGACGCCCCAAAAGGCCTCCAAGAGGCTCCCAAAACGACTCACACCACGACGAGGGCCCCGAACGACTCACACCACGAGGAGCCCGAACGAGTCACACCAGGAGGAGGGGCCCGAACGACTCACACGACGACGAGGGGCCCGAACAACTCACACCACGAGAAGCCCGAACGACTCACACCAGGACGAAGAGCCCGAACGACTCACATCACGAAGAGCCCGAACGATTCACACCAGGAAGAAGGGCCCGAACGACTCACACCAGGACAAGAAACCCCAAACGACTCAAACCACGAGGAGCGCTTTCTCTCCCTCCTCCTCCGCCTCGTCCTTCTCCCGCTCCCACCACAAGGAGGATGTACAAGGAGGCGGGAGGAAGGAGGAACATGGGAGATATGCGGGGGCAGGCGGAAACACGCCTGAAAAACACGACTGTCGGCATGCTTCGCAAGAGTTGCTGTTTTGAGATGGGCTGGTGGGGATACGCGAAGCGTAAAGAATTCAACTTTCTGGGCCCATGCGGCGCCCTGGCGCGACGCGTGTCTGGACGCGATGCGCAGCCGACGCCAACGGGCACGAGAAAACCCAACGACGGAGATGAGCCGTGAATTTACCTCAGGAGGGGCACCATGAGCCCAATCCACGGAAGCAGGGGTCCAGATTTGAATGGCAAAGTTGCTTGTCGCGTCAGCCGCCGCGACGTACATTGTGTCATGAGGACTGCGTTGAACCACGCTCTGCCTGGCCCTGCCCTCCTGCAGGGCGGCGATGTGCATGATAGCCTCCGAAGCCAAATCATGAAGCAACGTGACCGTGCCCCCATGCATCACCCCCACCCATCTGGCTGAGCTATCGGTCTTCCTCCCAAGGGTTCAGAATGCGCGCGCCCGCAGGTGCGACTCCGAGGAGGGAGATCTCACCGGCGGCACCGGATGAAGGAAGGGACCCCAAGGGGGTAGCACGCAGATTCTGGCGACGGGGTGGTTCGCTGGAGGCCTCGCGCCGCTGCGGAAGGCCGTCGACCCCGTCGCCCTCGAAAGCCCCCCGCTGACCCCGCCCAGAGGCGTTGTCAGGAGAAATGCGCGACGCACAACCTATGCCCGAGAACCCCTGTTAGGAGACCCACGCGCTTGCAGCGGCGCCTACGCTGGGGGAAATGCAGAAGTGGCATGCCTGATGCGATCCAGGCGCGCCCCGATCCACGCATTCCCAGCGGGATTCACGCAGATGACATTGATGTGCATGCTGACGCATTGAAACACTTGGGGGACTAATTCAAGCTCTGTCGGACAGCGACCTGCCGGGCGATCAGACCCACGGGGCCTCTCGCAGCTCCTCCAAAAGAAACGTCGCGGAGGCACGCGGCCGAGAAACCTCTGAAGAGACGGAGGCAGGTGGCAGAGAAAGAAAGGACTCGAGGATGAAAGGGAGCCTTGGCACAAGGGCCGGCGGCCGTATCAGATAACGCGGGTGCGCATTGGAGATGTTTACTCGGACTCCCAAGTCTCGCAACGTCTGACAGCAACCCTGGCCAAACGTGCTTTGGTTCAAATGAGACTGACCAAAGCTCTGCTCCAGGGCTCATAGCAGCATCCGAATGCCGCACTCGAGGTAACCTTGTTGATGGTCCCGCAGATGCTGCTGGAAACCCCTCGTAGGGAGTGCCCGCAGCTGGCATCTTGCTCAACGCAACGCGGCGGGTGCGCAGTACCTGCCAGTTGGGCACCGGGACCTCGGCCTCGCCCTCCATCGCCACCTCCGAGGCCCCCACCGGCGGGGTTCCGCCGACCCCAGAAGCGCGTGCGCAATCCTTCTGACCACCCATCTAGCCCGCCGCCGCCAAGATCCTTCTGTTAGAGCCACCCACACTGCCACCTTGCACTCTCTGGCCTGGTACCCGCAAGCGCCCCGCACCGCGCTCTGGCACCGCCGTCTGGACCTCTGTTTAAAGGCCACCCGCCCAACGATTCCTCGTTCGGAAGCGACCCTGACACCCCACCTGGACC